CCGCGGGGCCTCTGGCCTCCTGCCAGCCGCTCATCTTCTTCCGCTAAACCACACCCACCAGCGAGACGAATCCCAACACACCACCGACTCCACGTTTTGTATGTGTCTCTGTGTAGTACACAGCCGCCGCCCTCCTTAACGCCACAGCTGAAGGTTATACTTATGTGGACATAAGTAGTCATTAGTAAGTCTAATATTACACTGTATGGTGTTCGGGTTTCTTTTTCATCCTGTGCCAACAAGGCTGCATTGCCGGGTGGGACTGGTAGGGTGCGCTCTGTGTATATTGTACATTTCTCTCAGGAAAAAAATTTGGTAAAAAAAAAGGTTCCTACTTTAGGTAAAAAATGACTCTCGTGATTTATAGTGTCAGCATGATAAGAGCTGTTGACTTTCTCTATCAGGGGGGTCAAACTCAAATACACAGTGGGGCCAACATTTAAAATTGGTACTAGGTCCGAGGGCCGGACTGGTTCAATGTTTATTGCAAAACTTATTGAAATGAACTTATTGCACATATTAAACCTGGAACTAACAAAGCTTAAATGATTGCCTATAAAAATAACATTAAACATTAAATAATCAGTTGCATTCATTTCTTATGGCTCTATCTGCAGCTTCTCCGGATTCATTTCTTATGATTACATTTTCCCACAGGCTAACAACAGCTTCAACAAAACTATTCCCCTCAAAGAAAAAAAAAAACATGCCCTGTTGTCGTGAGAGAAAAAGTGCAGAAGGAAGCATCCATTAAACTCAGTGTGCTGCTCTGTGATGCTAGCTCAAGCAGATACTTGGCATCTCATCTTGGGTGCAAGGTCATCAATGTTTGGGGTCAGGCTCTGAGCTGAGGAGACCCTCAGGATGGAGTGAAGGTGAACGTGCAATATACCGGCGGGCGAGATCTAATAGTAATTAGAAATGATCCTGCGGGCCGAAATTAAATCCACCAAGGGCCTGATTTGGCCCCCGGGCCTTGAGTTTGACACATGTGGTGTAGAAGGATAGGAAAGGAGCTTAAATACTTCCTTTACTATCTCCTTTAGCTTAGGAAACACTGGACCATCCTATAGAAAGGGAGAGGAGATAATGCCGTCCCACAATACCTTTGCGGCCGCAATGTCACGCAACATTCAGAAGTTCACGGAAACAACCGAAAGAGAAGCGCAGCTCATTTAAAGTGCGTATATGTTCTAACCCTTCAACACTATTTAAAACCTGAAGGAAAAAAACCTGAAGGTTGAAAATGTATTAGAATGACTGTAAACTGAGCTGTGTGGGTTTTTTCAACATGTTTGAATGGCGATACAGGGCGAAGTACCTCGATGTCTTATAGTAGACGCTGTACGGAGCATTGTAGTGTCCCTACAGCAGACTCAGTAACATCCTCCCATCTCATCACAATGAGAGTCCTGAGGAATTCTTCTTCACACCTTTTCTTAACCCTGCGATGTTTATCACTGAAGTAAGGAAGCTTCATTTTCCATCATTTGTTAGCAACCCTGTTGTTTCTGCCTCTCAGCCTAGGATGTATATTGTTTATATGCGTCTTTGTAATAAATCTTACAGGTTTGACAGCTTTAAAGCCGTCTTTCTGTGGTGTATTTGGGTCAGTGGAGGAATTGTGTAAGCCCCATAGGGCCGCTTAAGGGATTAAAGGGGGCCCTTCCAGGATCTTCATGCACGTGTTTCAGCAAGGCAGCCCAACTGGGCAGATCTACTGGAGGGAAAAAGGCCAAGGAATACAGGTAACAACACCACTGCAGATTTGACCTCCCTCCCTCCCCCCCTCTTCCTCTTTCACTCACCCCCACCTCCTCCGGAGAGCCACAGCTCTGCCCCGTCGCCCCCTGACACTCCTTAGAGGTGAGGGGGTCCACCATCCACAGAGCCAAGGTGGAGGGCCAGTTCCCCCCCAGGTTGGTGACGGTGTTCAGCAGCGTCATGTAGGTCCCCCCGATGAGGGGGTCGCTCACTTTGGCATGGAAGGCCATGCAGGCCACGTACATGCTGTACAGCGTCACCTGGGGGGCAACATGGGAAACATCTGTTAAAGCTGATTTTCGGACTAACCATGGCACTCAAACACTTGACAGCCTGACAGCTAAAATACAAGGGCCAGAAACAGAATATATATTTAGTCAATTACTCTATTACTAAATCCCTATCTCTGATGAATAGTTTTAATAATCCATTGAAAAGAAACATTTAAGAAAAAAAATTTAAATTAAAATGTAAAACATTATTCTGTTACACAGTGACATGTTGTGGAAATTAAACAAACTAAAGTGTATAGAGATAGTGCAAATCATGTTGTGTACCTTTTTTAACTTGAAATATGAGACATGACATCCAAGCTCGCAATGACGATGCACAAATGTGGATTAAATAACATTATATGTAATTTGTTAATCCCCAAATCGGGAAGAAAGAGGTCATAGCAGCATATTTACAGGCATAACACAGGAGTTACAAATATAATACAATTAAATACAATTGATTAAAATTAAATAAAAACATAATATCTTATATTTTTTTGCACGTGTCTTTCATATTTAATCATGAACTACAAACAAAAGAATAGGATTTGAAACAAAAAAAAAAGACCTGGCTGAAAAACAAGAATTGAAACCGAGAACAAAAACCTAGTTTTGAATCCAAGGGCACAACATCTGCAACTGTTCAGATTTGTCTAACAAACCATGAAAATAAACGTTCTCATTGAATTCATTAGCATATAGAAATGAATAAGAACGCTTAACTATTGGTTGATCTGGTTGCACACAGGATGCAGGTAAAGGACTTAAACATATTTGGTTTGAATTGATCTTTTTTCCAACAAACAATGCAGTTGTCAAAGTTAAGTTTGTTTGCATCAAAAGTAATAAACAAGATTTGCTTGTTCTCATCAGCTCTCAAACTGTGTGTTCACTGAAGCAAACCAAACAGGCCATACTGACACGTTTTACAAGGGCCACTGTCGATCAGATTTGGGGAATGGTGTCTATTTGCTGTGCAGCCCTGCACAAAACGAACACCTGGTCCCCCTAATATAATGTTAAGTAGAAATGTGCAGAGGGTCCTGAGGCCTTTTTTAGAAGCAAACTGTCACTGTCTTATGGCGCATTTCCACTACAGCGCGGAGCGCAGTTTTTGGTTGCGTTTCCACTAGGGGTAGTTTCGGCTAGCGGGTACTTTTTCAGTTTTCTGGCTCTCCAAAATCGAGGTTCTTTCCGGGCCAACAACCGGGCTGAGTATGCTAAACTAGTGAGAGAATGCTGGCAACTACAACAAGATGAACATATTTGACCGTGATTTAATTTTAATACACGTTTCAAAATGATGCCGAAGTAACAACATACTGATACCGGTTAGTAAAACCATGAATTAATGCTTTGACAAGTCCGCAGACAGACGGCAGGCGAAAAGCCTTTTAAAATGGCGTGTTGTCTGAATGGAGATCGGCTAAGCTAACGCAGTATATGCTCCAACCGTCCACGCTCACAACAACGGCCTACAGACATAAATAAACCAGCGACTGTATTCTCCATGACACAGACAGTCTGTGGTTTGTATTTGTTTAACTTTTGTCTAGTTTCTGAACAGATGTGAGGAGCTGTGAGCTCTGAGGGCTAACAGCTAACGGCTGATGTTGGTTTTGTGTTTCGCATTGAAGATGACGTCACGGCTCCGCCTACACTGCGTTACTATAGTTACTACCCCAGTTCCTAAATTGTAATGGAAACGCAGCATAAAGTGAGCCTGGCCAACCAAGGCCTAACTATACCGTACTAAGCCGTGCTAGGCCTTGCAGTGGAAATGCGCCACTAGAGGACTCTCACACCATGAGAAACCAAATTGTCTGGCCTGATGAAACCAAAATGGATCTCTTTGGCCTGAGTGCCAAGCATCATGTCTGGAGGAAACCAGGCACCGCTCATCACC